AGGGAGGGCAGGGACAAGGGGAAAAATGAGAATCAAGACCTATTATGTAAAGGTACAGAATCCCAATGATGAATGTATTTGTATTGTATACCTAGATTGTACCAATAACCTCAATAAAAAAAAAAAAAGAACAAAGCACAATAGAATTTACTATATAAACCATATATAGCTTTCACAGTTAGAAAAATATTTGGCCTCCATTATAAAACCTTCAGCCTGAAACCCTGTAGAAGTTAGAGGATGCCTTTTCCAAGACCACCATTCTAAGTGCCCCAGAATAATGGATAGGCTTATAGGCATCTGCTGATTTGCAGTAGGTAAAATGACATTTCCCACAGTAAGGGCAATGAAAGAGGACCTACTTCCCTTAAAATAATTTCATGGAAATAACCATCTGAAGATTCTCCTCTTGATAAGTAAATGTCTTTACACTTGATCTTCCAATCCGGTTTGTTCCTCGCACCATGCTGGTAGAAGACAGGCTATACAGCTGTGCTCTCACTTCAACAGATCTAAGCTATTTTCCTAGAACTGTGATTTTACAGTTTCCAAATGGTTCCTCCATAAGAAAAGAAATAATTTAACATGATGAAAAGATGAAATATGAAAAATCTAGGGTACGCAAAGGAGCTCTTTTTAAAAAAAATCTTAGGACTGCAGTATAGTCAGTGGTAGAGTGCTTGCTCAGTATATGTGAGGCCCTGAGTTTGGTCCCAACATTAAAAAAAAAAAATCCTTAAAGCACTTTCTACAATACAACACAAATCAAAGTAGCTCGATCTAGTTATGTCTGCAGATAAACTAAGAAATGAGGTTTTGGCATATTTAGCCAAAGAACCCATGCAAAGCACAAAGAACTCCAGGCCTCTGTTCAGAAAGCAAATATTCTCCTAGGTCTTATTTCATTTCTTTAAAGAATCTGGCTGACCTGCTTAGCTAGACAAGAGTTTTCAAGTTGCCACAAAGACACATCCTATGTGAATGTGAACATATCACTACTTTTCTAGCACCGTGCAGGGCTGCAAATCAGATTTCTTTCCTCTGGCCGGGTGGATAACAGAGGACGGCCTTGTTAATGAATGACTTGAACCACACAGAAAACAGGCCTCACAGCTGCAACCACATCCACCAACAATCCAGCCATTGTGCCCTTCAGTGCCCAGCAAACTCAGCCACACTGGAGCTCTGTGTTCTTCCCAGCCTGAGGCTTAAGAGGGTCCCGGGAATTTAGTTGTATGACCAAATGTTTATATGCAGCCTTTATCTTATCCCTAGCAATGTGCTTGGAATAATTCTCCAAGGTTAGAATAATTGATCAAGGCATTCAAAGTTTTAAGGGTTCAGTAATGACTTTATATAAGACTGCGATGAGTGTATTCCCACTAGAAGTATATGAGACTTGTTTCTTTCCACCCCTAGGAGCATTACTGTAATTTTTTTTTGTTCTGGGGATTGAACTCAGGACCTTGTGCTTGCGAGATAGGCAGTGGAACCACTGAGTTAAATCCCCAGCCCAGCATTACTGTAATTTTAAAAAACCTTTTTCAATGTGATTGCTAGATGAGAAACTGCATCTCTTTATTTTTTTATACTACATTCTTAGCATTGATCTTAGTATATCATGCATGTTTCTGTGGTGGGCCAGGTCTTATTTCTCCTCAACACAGGCCTTTGGGGGAAGGAGGCAGTAGAAAGCCTTACTTGTCTATATTCATTGCAGTAACTGATGATCCTTTTAAACCTCAGACACATGTCACAAACAAGAATGTATTTTTAGATCTATTTCTATTATACCAGGTCTTTAACTCACATGAAATTTCAGGCTAGGGACATTAGGAGACGGGGAGTTGAGAGACAGCTGCTGTTTAAACAGAAACTAGTGCTAGAAGGCTCTTTTTTCAAATAAATATATTATCAAAATTCTGTTTTTTCTTCCCACCTTCTTTGCCTCTGGATTTAAAAATTATGTTTTTGGAGAATATTTACTAGCCCATGACAATGCTCCTAATGGATAAAAATCAAAGTTTAATAAAAACAGTATTATCCTGGTCTCATTAACAATGAGTAAATATGTATGTATGCTCACAAATAAAAGTAATCAGGAGAAAGCGAGACAAAAATATTAGTGAAGACATTTACTACATGGTTTTCATTTTTTTACATCTTTTTGATTTTCTGCAGTAAATCTGTATTGCTTTAATAATTAGAACTAAGAACAAAATGCCAATGTGTTATTAAGACTAAATGGACAGCTCATCTCTCTGCATCTGTGAAATACTATGCTACATCTTTGCAGCCCAAACCAAAGGTTTATTATAAAAAAGGCCAAAAATAGAGATTACAAATACATTTCAAATTGTGGGGCTGGGGATTTACCTCAGTGGTTTGGTGGCCTGCCTTGCAAGTGCAAAGACCGGAGTTCAATTCCCAGTACCAAAGTATATATATATACATATATATATAAAAATAAAAGAGTCAAATTGTGTACTGACTGGTGGCAGATTAGGCACACTTTTCAAAAGGATTTTGCCTGAGTCCATACTCCTGGGGTTCTGCTGTGACCGGCAGGCGATATCTAGCATGGTACGAGCTGATGGAGCAAAGTCTCAGCGTGAGGCTCTGGACTGGTCCTGAAACAGACTCAATGCTCAACAGAGGACCTCACAGGGGGCCAGGCTGAGATCCCTTATTGACAGATAAGGAAACCAATTTAAGGCCAGATCTGGCCTCCATTCTACCTTCAGCTAATTTCCTATGAGCCCAGTGGGCCTCTCTATGTTAGGATGTAGTAAGAATTCACCCATTCTGGCTTCTGAGACACGGTTCTCTCTGACTCTTCTCCTTTTCAGCACTTCTGGTAAAGATATCTGGTGTCCCCCACAGTTTCTTACGTGGGAATTATCTTCCTCCTACAAATCTGCATGAGAAAATTGACGAATCCTGAGACTTGTACTCAGTGACTGATATGCCCAGTAGGTGGCAGTACTAGCAAGGCATGAAGTATACTTAACCAAAAAACTCAAAAGAAAATCCTTCATATAATTTAGCATTTTGCAGACATATTTGTGTAGAGGCACTTAAAACATACAAAGTATACAAGAAAATTTGGAAGGCGATATATCAAAGTATTTAAATTATTCAATAAAGGGTGGTATTTTAAATTATTTTCATTTGTTTACACCTTCCATATTTTGTACAATCAACATTTTTTTTTTTTTTTTTGAAACAAGGTACCGCTAGGCAGCTCAGGCTAGCCTTGAACTTGCTATGTAGCTCAGGCTGACCTTGAACTTGTGGTGATCCTTCTGTTTCAGCCTTCTAAGTGCTAGTGTTTCAGGTATGTGTCACCACACCTAGCTCAGTCAACAAATTTTTAAAATAAAAAAGTTACTGTCATAGTGAGGTTATTTAAATAAAACACATAGAGAGTTTTGGTTCTGAAATGACATTAGCAAGAGCACATGGAAATGTGGTAATCTGTATTTTTGTCTCTGAGGTCACAAAATCATTACAGTACAAATGTGTATAAAAGAAGTTTAAAATGATGGAGTCCTGTAATACTTTAGTAGTGTGACTTTATTTTTTTATTTTCATTTTTTGGGGGCACTTTTGAGACAGGGTCTTCCTATGTAGTTGAGACTGACCTGGAACTCACTATGTAGCCCAGGCTGGTCTCAAACTCACAGTGATCCTCCTGCCTCAGCCTCCAGAGTTCTGGGATTACAGGCGTGTGCCACCACACCCAGTTTAGCAGTGCGACTTTAAAATCTTATTAACTTTATTAAAAAACAAAACAGAAAAACCTCAAATTACAGATTTAAACTGGAAGCCTAACACTGAATTATTAGCACAGGAAACCATTTCACAATGGTGTATATTTCTTTATGTTCACTTGCTCAGGGTAAAGAGGATGAACATAAATATGTAGTGGTTATGCTGCTTCATCTACAAATAACCTAAAGTTTAACACCCATGGCATTAACTAAACTAAGTACTGTAACTTTCTAACTCTAATTTATCTACAAATATATGTAGCAGCCTGCCCGCCAAGTTTAAGGGGTCTTCATTCAATCTTGGATTGAAAATACTCAGATAAAAAATTGCGTTTGGGGCTAGCAATGTAGCTCAGCGGTAGAGAGAAAGAGCCCCAGAATTCAATCCTCAGTGCATGCTCAAAATAATGTGTCTGTACTGAAAATGCATGGACATTTTTTGTGTCATTAGTCCCTAAAGGATGCAGTACAACAACTCTTTACATAGCATTTGGATTATATCGGGTATAATAAGTAGTCTAGAGATGGTTTAGAGTATATAAGAGAAGGTGCATAGGTTATATGTAAATACTACATCACTTTGAATGAAGGACTTGAACATCAATAGATTTTGGTATCTCAGGGATCCTAGAACCAATTCCATGTTAATTAATCAACTTAATTCTGAGCACATTTACCAAAAATGAGGCTCTTCATGGGAGTTTCTTCTGCCAGAAGATGCCTTACCTGGCATCACAGGACTGATTTGGCTCTCTGGTCTCTCCCAGGAAGAGTGATTCCTCTTCTCTGTGCTTGATAAGGTTGCTGGCTGGTTGGGGGGTGTGGGTTTCTGAGACTTTTCCAACTGTGAGTCCTCCCCAGCGATTAGCACTGCGTTGCCCGGCTGGCCAGGACTGGCTGCTGTGTGAGTCACCAGCTTGCGGTCAAGGCCCACTGAAGCATGGGAGAGCTCAGTTAGTCATGTGGTTTCTTTTCTGAACTTCCATTAAAATGATATATTTGCAGTTGGATTAAAATCACTGATATTTGGGATAAATAACTGACCCATCCAAGATGTGTCAGACATCATTAAAATGTTTCTCTCCAGTTTTCAAGTGGGCCATGTGTTCTATTGTCTTTCAGTAACTGGCTTTCCAGGGAATATACATGAAGAAATGGACAAAGACAAAACCTAAGCCTTATTTTTATTTTTTTTTTTTTTTGGTTTTTTGAGACAGGGTCTCACTATGTAGTTGAGACTGACCTGGAACTCACTATGTAGCCCAGGCTCGTCTCGAACTCACAGCAATCCTCCTGCCTCAGCCTCCCGAGTGCTGGATTACAGGAGTGCACCACCACGCCTGGCTAAGCCTTATATTTTGAGACTAGTTGTCTTTCCTCAAACAGGTACTTCCTTAAACTTTCTGCAGCTCTTTCTCACAGGCACTTGTATGTGCATGACACTGCAAGACTTCTGACTTCGGTACACCCCACTGTGACATAAAGGTTCTTTAAAGACCATCAAAACAAAATGTCAATTCACCAAAGTTTTTTTTTTTTTTTTTTTTTTTAAGTCATGTTATTGCAGCATTTTTAGGATAGGAAAAAAAAAATCTTTGGAAAAAAAAAATTAAAAATATGTGATGGGCCGGGGATTTAGCTCAGTGGCACAGCGCCTGCTTGGCAAAGTGCAAGGCCATGAGTTCGATCCCTGGTACCAAAATAAGTAAATCAATGAATAAACAAAGCGATGGATAAAAATATGCAAATCAGCACTGATATGGCACCGAAAATAGCAAAAATTTGACATTTGCGACTCAGACTAGAGACTCAGGGTGAGTTCCCATTTAAGGCACAGCTTTTGCACCAGAAAGCTACACTTGAAACCAGGCAGAGAAAGAACACTGGGCTCCCATGTTATTCTAGGAACACAAGCATCCCTCCTCTACCCCCGCCAGCCCGCTGCCTGACAGGGTAAAAGGCAGACTCACAATTTTGACAGAAATCCTCGTCAGATCCGTCAGGACATTGCCGCACTCCGTCACATGTCAGGGTGATGTCAACGCAGCAGCCGTCATCACAGAAGAAGTGGTAGCGCGAGCAGGTGTTCAAGCATCCTGTTTGTAGACAAGTGTAAGTCACAGGAGTACAGGACAAATGAAGGAGCAGAAGCCTTCATTTTTCAGTAAAAACAAAAATAAAATAGAAAAGCCTCTCTCATTCAACAACCGAAATAAGTAAATAAATAAAATTTAAACAAATTTTAAAAGGAAGCGCCATGGAACGCAGTCAGGATGTAAAGCAGCCGGCACCGTCCTTCCAGGAGCAGCTGGTGTGGCTGGCTGTGGTGAACGCGAGGGAAAGACTTTCTTCTCACCTCCCGGCGAGTAGGTCCTGGGATGCACCGTCACCGACACATTGTCTGAGCTTCTCTGACCCGCGGTGTCGGTCACAGTCAGCTGCAAGGTGTACGTTCCTTCCTGAAGGCGGGACAGCTTCAGGGTTCCCGGGTGGGGCACCTGACACACAAATGGGTACCTGAGGATTAGGGAGGAGATCCATGCACAGAGCCCAGCAGCCCGCAGCACTGCAAATCAGGGTCATTGGAGCAGGGCCAGCCCCTGCCTCTCCTCCAGGTCCAGGGCTGCTGAGTACTCCGTCCCGCGCTGTTTGGGCCCCATCTCAAACACACAAGATCCAATATTATCCCAGCTGGCAGCACCCTTGACCGACAATCCCTCCACTTGTCTTTAGCGGCCACTGTTCCAAACCTGCTCCTCCTCTCCATGCTCCACACTCGGGGTCAAGTCCCTTCCTTCTCATCTAGCAGACCGCGGTTACTACGGTTATCCCCCGCCTCCTCCTGGGCCCAGCAGTGGGCCCATGGCCACCTCCTTCCTGACACCTGTCTCTCACAGTCTTTGACTTACCTTCCATGACTTTTAGAACCCTGACCCATCAATCAATTCCTCTTTCAAATGGCTCTCCTATTACTATGCTTGCTTCTCTCATCCCCCAAAACCAATAATATAAAACAAGAGTAACTGAAAAAACGACCTAAACTCCAGGGTCCTCCCTGGACTGTCTCGTCTCTGTCCCATCCTGATGTGGCTCCTGGGAGGGCCGCTGAGTATCACTCACTGGCGGCTTCCATGTGCTCATTTCCCTTGTAGTCTTTGCCCACCAGTGAGGCCGCTGGCCCCACATTCCCCCGAATCTGCGGTGGCAAAATACACAGAGTTGTCAAGGTCAACAGTTGTCTTTGGGCCTGGGGGTGTGGCTCAGGACTAGAGTAGTTGCCTAGCATGCTCGAGGCCCTGGGTTCAACCCCTGGCACGGGAGAGAGAGAGAGAGAGAGAGGGAGAGAGTAGGGGAGAGAGGGTCTTTCTTTAAATTAAAAATATGCTACTGTAGTCATACATGCACACCCATGTTTATACCAGTATAATTCATAATAGCTAAACTCTGGAAACAGCATAGATACCCATCAACAGATAGAATAGACAAAGAAAATGCAGTATGTATACACACTGGAGTACTACTCAGCCATGAAGAAGAACGGAATCATGTCATTTGCAGGAAAATGGAATTTGAGGCCATCATCCTAAACAAAATAAGCCCAACTCATTTAAACATACTATGCTTTTTCTTATATGAGATGTGATCAGCTTCACTGCTGTGCCGTTGTATCACCTTAAGGCACTCAGAAAATATTGAAAAGGTCACTTAGGTGAATAATAAAATGCAAAAAGCATAAGAGGGAGGAGGAGAAAGAAGAGGAGAAAAGAGAGGGGAGAGAAAAGGAGGGAAGGAGGAAGGGAAGGAAAGAAGGGGAAGGAGAGAGGTAAGGGAAGGGAGAAAAGGGTGGGGAGGGAGAGGAGGGTGGGGAGAGGGCAGAGAGGATGCTAACAGCACCAAGAGAACTCCAAAAGATCCTGCAGTGGGCCACTGATCCTGAGGAACACACCAACTTTACAGTACCAGTAAGCCTGAGAACCGTCAGAGCAGATGAGAGTTTCAGATGAGTAGGAATGAAATGAGGGAAAACTGGTTTGGGACCTCAGAGTTGTGGTGCTCCCACACTTTTACAGCTCACTCCAATGTGTCAGCAAGTCCCACAGGCTCTACCTTAAAAACATATCCAGAATTTGACCTTTCACCCCATATCCACTCTTACGACCCGGTCTGAGCTCAAATTGTCTCTTGTCTGGGTCACTGTAGTGGTCAGGGGACCTGAGCGAGCCCCAGTGAGGTGTGGCCTGGTGCCCCCATCTTCTGGAACTCTTTCCCTCCCACCTTTACGTGCAGCTTGCAGAGGATCAGCTACGACCTCTCCCCATGGCCACAGGGGCACCAATGCTGGGCTGAGCTATGGCAGGCCCACAGCGCTGCAAGGGACAGCAGATTCCCTGGTGGGCGATGGCAGGTTCTGGCTCTGACTCAGGCTCAAAATCATGCTGGCCTTGCTAGGAGGTAGCAGGGCAGGAGGCTACATCTCCATTAAATGTCTGTTGGTATTTAGAAACACAGGGGAATAGAGTAGCAAATTACAGACATACCGAAATGTGTCCAAAAAGGGCTTGTAGCATTTACTAAAAGGAAGGGAGGGAAAGAGGGAGAGAAAGAAAGACACAAGTAAGAAGAGTATTTACTGGCTGTTTCCTAGTGGGTCTGCCTGAATGCAGACAAGCACCTTAGACCGTGGAGGGCCAGCCATGGAGGGGCTTGTGTCCAACACAGGGAGCAGAGAAGGTAGACTAGGACTGAGTACGGCTAGGGTGAGAGGGACAGAGGGATGCCGAGTCAAGGCCTGCCTGAGTGTGACCACTGGAGTGAGGTGGAGAGGAAGTTACCAGAGGCCAAGGAAGTCACGAGACTAGGAGCTGGCTGGGCACCCACAGGAGGGCGCCACCCGGAGTCTGCACTCTGGGCAGGGGAGCCCCTCACTGTGCTTGGGCAGCTCAGCGTGACTGCGTGAGACTGAACTGCACAGGTGGGGTCGGCTGGGAAGCCTCTTGCCCAAACTGGGGCTGGAAGGACAAAGTATCCTTGTGAAGGGGCCAACCTCTCCCTCTGGGCCGTGCACCCTTCTACCTCTTCTCCAGTACGGGAAACGTGGGTCCAGATGCAGATCCCGCCAGTCTCCTTTAATGTCCAGAATTCACTCACATTTAGATCTATTCACATTAGCTTATCCTCTGAGGATTGCTAATTATAGAGGCTAAGTCTGACAGAATCTTGATTGTGGACTTTCTAGCACCCAGAACTGTGAAAAATAAATTTGTTTAAAAGCTACCCAGTTATGGCATTTGGTTATAAAGCCCAATGACAATCACTTAATTAAAACATTTTAAGCATTTGATGAATGTTAATCAGCTCACTGCTTTGTGAATTCCAAATATCCCTAAACATCTCTGTTCTGTTCCTAAATGAAATACTCAGTATCATGTTCTTAAATGTCATATTTTACATTCTGACTTTAGATTTAAATGTACTATATCATGAAACTTGGTGTCATCTAATGAGCTGCCTGGAAAATGTGTTTTCCTGCATTTAAAAATGTATTGTGGGGGCAGGGGATTTAGCTCAGTGGTTCCACTGCCTATCTCACAAGCACAAGGACCTGAGTTTGATCCCTGGTACCAAAAAAAAAAAATGTATTATGAAGCTGGGGATTTAGCTCAGTGGTTCTGCTGCCTGCCTCATAAGCACAGGGACCCGAGTTCGAAAAAAAAAAAAAAAAAAAAAAAAAAAAGAATGTATTGTGGGTCAATGTTCATTCTATTAAGCGTATTTATAACTTTAACATGTAGTGGACACCTTCTTGGTTCTGATCAATCCTCCTACCATACTTTCTCTATTACAATACAGAAGAATGAACCAGGGCCTTTGCACTGAGCAACAGTCCCATCCCAATCCTTTATTATTTTTTTATTTTGAGACAGGTTATCACTAAATTGCTCAGCCTGGCCTCAAACTTGCAATCTTCCTGCCTCAGACTCCTAATCTGTCTCTTCCATTCTTTCTTCAGAAATGAAGAAGATAAGCTTTTCTGTATGCTTAGTCAACACAAAGTGTTCAGTCCAATACTAGGCACATACTACATACTAAATAAAAAGGCTAGTTGTTAACTTCATCCTGAGGAAGTTGGCAGTGTATTCTTTTTAGGTGAGAATCTCACTGGGTTTTTGTTGTTGTTAAAGGACCCAAGGACTAGGTTACTTGGGTTGAAAAGATAGGTTCTAGAACATGATGTAAAAGTACCTCAAAATAAAGGCCTCACTGTTCCAGAACAGAGAGGGAGTGAAGAACTTGTGTAGCTGGTGAAGACCAGGGGAGACAGACAGGAGGGAGGGAGAGCTCAAGAGGAGGCTGGGGAAGACACACAAGAAATCCTGACCAAGGAGCACCCTGGCTGGTGGGGACAGTCAGGGGAAAGAAGAACCAAGGTGTCCAACATCAAGTTTTAACTGGAGTGCTTGCTAAGGAAGGCTGAATCCCACTTTCCTCCTCTCTCAGCAACCTCTGAAGCCAGCACATTTTGTACCTTGAAGGAGGATCAGCCAGTTACCATTTTCAGGGAGAATGGCAATTTGATTAGGGAGTCCAAGTTTTCTTGCCAGAAATTTTGGGGTGTAAAATCCAGCTGTTCAAGCTAAAGGTATCAGAGTGACGACCTCTGAGGACTGCTAGTTACTGTTAAAGGGAAATTCTCAAAAAGCAGAACCACGATCTTTACATAATATAAACATGTGTGAAAGACTTTAATTAATTTAAGAGGGAACCAATAAGATATTTAACTGGCTCAAAAGAGGACTGAAAGAATAGACACATATAGGAGTTGTGAAAGCTGAAATAAATTTGTAGATACAAATGAGCTTGTGAATAAGTATGGAAAGTGTATTAATAGATTGTTAATATTTACAGACACTAAAATGTCATGTCTAAAATCATCTTTTCTCCAGGGTCAAAAATCAGTCACATCTATATATAAAAATGTATTTTCATTTTTACAGTAGAGAGTCATTTACATTAATTACGCTTTTCTGCAATTTGTAAATGCTAACCCTGAAGGAGCTACTAACAAACCCCTAGCATTTCACTGAAAGTGACTCAGAGCTGGGGGAGATAGTGTGCCCCTGTAATCCTGGCTACTCCAGAGGCTGAAGCAGGAGTATCAGTATCAGAAGTTAGAGTCCAGCCTGGGCAACTAGACAGAACCTGTCTCAAAACAAAATTTTAAAAAGGGCTGTGGTTGTAATTCAGCGATGAAGTGCATGCTCAGCTTGTGTGGGGCTCTGGGTTCAATTCCCAGTACTACAAAAGAAAAGGAAGGAGGAAGGAATGAATGAATGAAGGAAGAATGGAAGAAAAGAAAGGAAGGAAAGAAGGTAAGTGCACGCTCAGGAATTTTTTGCCCATCTCAAAGTCTTTCACAATTTTTCTTGACACTCTTAATCCACAAAATGGGCTAAACTTCCATGTGAGTTTGCTCTGAGGATCACAGATAGGTTTTAAA